TATAAATGCAAATATTAAGTACATAAATATGACTTCCCTTATATTCTTAATGTTTCTCTTCTTGTCCACCATCATGACCATTATCTGGATTACTGAAACAGCTTTCTATTAGTGTCCCTCCTTCTAGTCAAAGTAGCAAGTAGCACTACTACTACTACTACCTCCCATGTGCCAGAAGCATACAGAAAACCCTACAAAGTAGGTTATATTCCCCCCATATTGCAGAGGATAAAATTCAGTACTCAGCAAGGGTAAATAACTTTCTTTAGTAACCCAGCTCTGTCATATTTCAAAATTTATGTTCTTTCTGCTATCCCACAAAGCTTCAAATCCTGTCAACCTGAATTCTGCACCTCATATCATGACCAAAGTGATATATCTAAAAATGCAAAGCTGATTTCATCATTCCCCTAATTAAAGCTCTCCAAGACCAAATTCCTGAGACTGGTATACAAGACCTCCAAGACATGGCCCTCCAGCTTCATTCCTCCCTACTCACTGTCCCCAGCTACACTCTGGTTCTATGAAGAGGCTTGCGGTTCTCTGTACTAAACAAGTGGTTTTATGTTCCATTTTTCTGCTCATACATTGTCCTCTGTACAGAACACTTTTTCCATTTTTACTCATCCTTCAACTTGTCTATTTTTGCAAAAAGCTTTCCTGAACAGTCCAGGCAGGTTAAAAGCCCTCAACCAGGCTTTCATATCGCCCTGAGATACTTCTATCCCAACACTTGCTATATTATATTGAAATGGTCTCTTTATGTATGGTTTCCTCCAACCAGCTTATAAGTTCTTTGAGGAAAGGGATAATAAAGTTTTCACTTTGTACCCACCTTGCTCCCTCCAGCGAATAGTGTCTGACATAAGGTAATCACATAAATACTGCTTTGGGGTCTGAAAGGAACATAGAAACTGGAATCATCTCTCAACCCCATTGCCATTCTAGAGCATGGAACCAAAACCTACATTCCAAACCTTTGGGATCTTATGCCATCTGTTTTCTTCCACAGAATACTTCAACTTTTGTTGACTGGGTCACGAAGACCACTACCATATTTATAGATGACCAGTTTTATAACTTTCTCTTATAACTACTTTTGTCAGCATCAAAATTCATACTGATGATTGTTCATGACTTTTTGACTTCAAGGTTCTTCTTCCTAATTACACCAATCTCTACCTTGTTTTCAGAATAGTCACTCAGTCACAACAACTAACTCTCAGACACATTTATCTTACTTCATGCTCTCTAGCAGTATTAACCACCTCAAAAGATAGTCAAACGACCCGGCTGGGCATGGCTCAGCGGATGAGCATCGACCTAAGATCCAGGAGATCGGGGTTCGATTCCCGGACAGGGCACATGCCCGGGTTGCGGGCTAGGCAGCCAATCAAAGACTCTCTCATCATTGATGTTTCTAGTTCTCTCTCTCCCCCTCCTTTCCTTTCTCTGAAATCAATAAAGATATGTGTTTTTTTAAAAAAAAAGATAGTAGAACAGACTGATGGTTTCCAGAGGAGAGGGGGTTAAGGGACTGGGTGAAAAAGGTGAAAGGATTAAGAAATACAAATTGCAGTTACAAAATAGCTATGGGGATGTGAATTAAAGCATAAGGAAGACAGTAAATAATGTAATAACTAAGTATAGTGCCAGGTGGGTACTGGAAATATCAGGGGAACATTATAAAGTATATGATTGTCTAATCATTATGCTGTACACCTGAAACTAATACAAAATAATATTGAATGTAAACTATAATTAAAAAATAAGAATTTTAAAATAAAATAAAAATACTAGTTTAAAAAGGGCAGTAGAAATGAGCTGGTGGTTACTGAATGGTTAATTGCCAAGATGCTGTATTAGGCACCTTGTATTTCATTTTCTTCTCTCAATCCAGTGACCATTTACTCATCAATCTCTCACTTTTTCCCATCAACTTAACCTTCTCTCTGCTGGCAGGCCTAATAAAAAACATTCCAGTGAGGCCATAATTTTCACTCTTGTCACCACTGGAACTCCAGTGTGAATCATTTCATTGGAGGGTATTAGCCTTATGCTTCCTCTGGAGGTTATTCCTTACATTAGGCAGACCCAGATTGATTCCCATGCTTTCTCCTTTTACACCTAAAGAAATGCTTCTTTCTTTTTCTATTAGATTACATTCTTTATTGATATGTCTCTTTCTCCTACTGGTCTATGAACCTCTGAGGTATGTGGATCTTGTTCTATTTACATTTTCATTAAAAAAAGCAAGTCTCAAGAAATGTTTTCAAAATAAAGATACTGTCTTCTAGTTTAAAAGATTATCTAGGCACAAAAGACCATATATAGTATGATTCTATTTATGTGAAATATCTAGAATAGGAAAATTTTAGAGACTGAAGGTTGCTTAAGGCTGGGTGGAGATGGTACAAAGAAATAAAAAATGATTGCAAACGGGGTTTCTTTGAAAGAATTTGAAAATGTGACGATGTTGGCGCAGACACAATGGAAAACAGTATGGAATTTATTCAAAAAATTTAAAAAGGAACTACCATTTGAACCAGCTATCTCACTTCTAGGAATATATCCTAAGAAGCCCAAAACACGAATCGGAAAGAATATATGCACCTTTATGTTCATAGCAGCACTATTTATAATAGCTAAGATTTGGAAACAGCCCAAGTGCCCATCAGTAATGAGTGGATGAAAAAGCTATGATACATTTACACAATGGAATACTACAAGACTGTAATAAAGAAGGTTCTATTACCATTTGAGACAGCATGGAGGGAACTGGAGAGTATTATGCTAATATGAAATAAGCCAGTCAGGGAAAGAAAAATACTGCATGATCTCACTTATAAGTGGAATCTAATGAACAAAATAAACTGATAAAAAAAAAAAGGCCCTGAAGCATGGAGACATGGACATGGAATAGACTGACATATCTCGGGGAGTTGGAGATGGGAAGAGTTTAACCAAAGAATTTACATACATATATGCATAATCAATGGACACCGACAATAGTGTGGTGAAGGCCTGGGGTGGGGCAGGGGCTGGGAGGAGGAGGGCAAAGGNTGACCCGGGGCTCAGATGGTGGCAGGAAAGGCCTGGAGGGGGGCCAAAGGGGGAAATGGGGGGCATCTGTAATGCTGTCAACAATAAGAGAAAAAAAAAGAAAATGTGGTGATGGCTGTAAAACTGTGTGAAAACAGTAAAAAACACTGAATTATACACTTTAAAAATAATTTTAAGGCTGGACATGAAATCAGAAAAAAATCAATAATAAGTTCTTCCCTTTATCCTGTTTCTCTATTTTTAACAGCTCTATGGAGATATATTTCACATACCATACAATCATTCATTAAAACTATGAATCCAGGCTGGTCCGAGGGTAGTGGGTTATCAGAACTCACTAAAGTTAGTGCCACCAACCCCCCCCCTGCTAAACTTGACTGGCCTTTTAAAACCACTGGACCCTGTACCTAAAGGTTTCTAACACTTTCACCCTCAAAAGAACATTTTTACATGAATGCACTTATAACAACTAAGAACAAAACCATTCTTTTTCTAAGTTTAATAACTACACAGTCTTNTATGAATCCTTTAGAAAATGGCCTATGTCTTACTCAGCTTGGCATTCCCAAGGCCTAGTACAGTATTCAGGATTTAGTGTATGCTCATTCCATGAATGAAAGACCTCTAGCTCTGAATTTATTACTAGTAATATAACTGTGTCATATTTGGGTTAAATATATGTTTACTTGGGAGAATCAAACCACCATGATAATATTATTTATATGGGAGAGGTATATTCAAAGCAAAATATAAGACTACCAGAAACTTCCAACGCCTTTCCACTAATAAATAAATCCCATTATTTATCTTGCAAGGCACTATCACATCCCAGTCCCCTCCTAGACAAATATCTGTGTTCTCTAGAAACACTCAGATTTTTTATAACAAATCTACTGAGTATTCCAACCTCCAGGTTGTGAAATACTATTCCTGGAAGAAGGGCTTTTGAAGAATGAAGAATATCTTCTTCAAAGTAAATCCAATACCTTTATAGGATAGCTCTTATTCTCATTATGCTTTCAGGGTATATGAAAAATAAGAGAATAGAACTTTTTAAAAACTGTTGAATGAGTCATTATATACACAGAGAGCCATTTGTACAAGCATGTAGCCCTCTTTTATAAAAATTGCAGTTTTATCTATTCCACAATTAGCCATGTTCTATTTTCCATGCACTATATTTTGTTTTATTTTATTCCCACTGCAATTTTTTTCATTAAAGATGACTTAGAGAAATCCACTGGAGTCAGTCATTCTGAAAACTTCATAATGATATATTCTCTGTGTTTACATCAATAATTATTGAAGCCTCCATCATACAATTTATGTATTGAACAGCACAAAATCCACATACTGACCTCACTTGAAATACAATATGTATTTCCAGACAATTAGCCCATTCCCCAATATTGTTATGAAATGAGTCAACAGTATCATCTTCATTTAGCTTCTCTTTCAGAGAATTATAGTCACTAGAAATTATGTTGAAGGCCAAACAATAAGATAAAATCACAGTTTCATCTCTGATTCTCTACTGGCAGGGTCAATGCTTATTCCATTAAACTATGGTGTTATTAAAATTATTAAAACCCTCTCATGTAATTTTGAAATACCTTTAAAAAGTGCATGCCATCTAAATGTCCATTGAGCATATTTTCTCACTAATGAATGAACAAAATTCTCACCGTTTCATAGAGTTTTTGTTCTAACCAAACAAGTCTATCATTTAAAAAATAAAGTGTACTTTCTTTATAGTTTTATAAGTTTCTTAAAACAAGGTTCATATATTTTCTTAATTGATTTACTCAAAATTGTTTACCTATAGTGATACTTGATTAATATATGTAGACTGACATTAAATAGGGAGCTAAATATATAATTTAGGTAGTGTGAAGCTCTCATATACAGAACAAGAAAATTTTCACATAATTCCTTACCTCTTCTAGTTGACATGCTTTGATGACACTCCTATATCTATACTCATCATAGGAAACACCAAAGATAATGTTTTCTTTAATGGTGCCAGGCATGATCCATGAAAACTGAGAGCAGAATGAAATTCTTCCACTGTGTTTAATTTTACCCTCAGAAGGCTCCAGTTCTCCCATAATCATCATCAGAAGTGAAGTCTAGAAATGAAACCATTGTTATTAAATTAAATAATTTGATCAAATCACTCTCAGGATGCTCTCACCTCCAACTGTCATCCTAAGACATGTCAGCCCCATGTCTTTACACTGCCAGCCCCCACTTCCTTGAAATCAGAATATAGCATATCCAAATAGCATCTCTGTTTGGATGCCAAATAGGTATTTTAAACTTAACATTCCATAATCAGCCTGCACCCAAAACCTGTTTCTTCCATAATATTCTTAATAAATGGAACGTTCATTCTTCCAGTTACTCAGTTCCAAAATCTTAGATTCATCCTCGAGTCTTCCATTTTTCTCATGTCATATTCAATCTACCTAATTCTGTTGTATCTTCCTTGGAAGCACATCCTGAATCTGACTACTACTTCGAATACTACCAGGCATAAACCAACATTGTCTCTTGCCTGGATTAGCACAATAGCCTTTAAACTCATCCCCTTGCTTCTGTCCTTGTTTCCCTATAATCTATCCTCAAAGTGGCCCTGTCAAAATGTATTTGCATCTGTCTTATTATGATGAATAAAGTACAATATCTTTTCACATGTTAAAGGCCACTACTATTTTCATTTTGGTGCAATATCTGTTACATACTTTGTATATTTTTCTAATGGGTTGTCTGTATATTTCCTTTTGATTTTAGGATCACTTTATTTAGAGAGAGATTATTTCTTTGTGTGATATAAATTACATATATTTACTTTAGTTTGACACTTTTTACTTGTTTTCCATGCACAATTGGTTTGTTTTGTTGTTTTTTGTTTGTTTTTGTTAAAGGGATTTAATTTCTCTTTTATTTTATGTCTTCTGGATTTTGAGTCAAAGAAGGGCTAAGGCTTTCTTCCTCCATGGTTGTTTTATTTTTCTTTTCCTCTAGGCATCCTCCAATTGTTTCCTTTAAGCATTTTATAGTCTCATTTTTGTACTTGTTCTTTGATCTATTTCAAATTCATCATGTTATGATGTGAGTGAGATATGGATACAATTTTTTGTTTGCGCTGCAGGTGGCTGTCCAGTTGTCGAACACCATTTTTTGAATAGTCTTATCTTTCTTCACTGTCAAATGTTAATTCCTTTATGCATTTGGATCTATTTTTATAGCTTGAATTCTGTTTCACAGGTTCATCTGTTTGTTTATGTACCAGTAATTCACTTTTTAAAATTATTGAACCATAGCTCAGTGGTTGAGCATCAACCTAGGATCCAGGAGATTGCTGTTCAATTCCTGGTCAGGGCACATGCTCTGCTTGTGGGCTCGATCCCCAGTCAGGGGCATGCAGGAGGCAGATGATCAATGACTCTCTCATCATTGATGTTTCTATCTCTCCCTCTTCTTTCCTCTCTCTGAAGTCAATAAAGATACATATTTTTTTAATTATTGAACCATTATAATTTACTATATCAGTATCATTAAATTATATCATTTCCAGGGTATGTATATATATACATAATTATATATACACACATACATAATTATATATTTATACAGTTAGTAACATTTTGGTATTTTGATAGATACGAAGTTAAGTGAAAACATCATTAAATATAGAGAAATATATAAAAATACAATAATACTAAGACTTTGAAGACACTGTATTTTATTTAAAAAGCAAGCAAAAGCAGGAGCTAATAGCTTATTCTACACATCTATTGCTCAGTTTTTATGACCAAGCTAAAGCTTAGTACTAGAGCAAGGCAAGGATGAATGATGGAGACTATGGGGTGTCATGGGTTATCAGCAAGGGCACAGAACTGTTTCAATTGTGGTGGAGATAATAGAACTGAAAATCCACACACGGAGGGATATGCAGCATTCCAGCCTTCAGTCAAGGGTATCCAGTGGTGCAGATTCTTATACCAATATTACTTAATTAAAATAAGTCAAGGACGTTTCCTAAATGAAAGACACTTAATGTGGATTACAAAAAACACCATGCCTTTTCTCAAAATTAAATAAATTTGTAGCTCTGATTTACATCTGATTTGATTACTTCATGCTCTTCAAATGTATTTCCTAAAGAGAACAAGTGTTTTATTATTAACTGAACAATAGCTCATATCCTTAAAGATCACTATAAAGTCTTCTCCTGACAATGAGCTTTGACCCTTTAGCTCTTTTCACTTTCTAATCTATGACAACAATAAGTGTGGGCAGGGGGCTGACCAGCACTGAATAACTTAACATTCTTATGTATTTCCTTCAAAAATCTATCCCACTCAAAAATTTTCCCTCAAAATAAATCATAAGCAAATCTGAGTCTATTCTCCAAAATTCTTCTTTTTTATTAAATATACTGGGGTGGCATTAGTTAAGATCATATAGATTTTAAATGTGCATTTCTATGATGCATGATCTGTATATTGCACTGTGTGCCCATCACCCACAGTCAAATCATCTTCCATGACTATATATTTGGCCTCCTTTAACCTTTATTATACCACCACCCCCTTCCCTATGGTAACCACCATACTGTTGTCTGTATCTATGAGATTCAGTTTTATATCTCACATATGAGTGAAATCATATAGTTCTTAGCTTTTTCTGCCTAACTTATTTCACTTAGCATAATATTCTTAAGGTCCATTCATATTGTCACAAATGGAGGATTTCATCTTTTTTCATCTCTGAGCAGTATTCCATTGTATGTATGTACCACAATGGATCTTTTTTATCCAATTCTCTATCAAAGGACACTTTGGTTGTCTCCAAGTCTTGGCTACCATGAATAATGCTGCAATGAACATAGGGGTGTATATATCTTTCGAATAAGTGTTTCGAATAAGTTTTTCAGAAAAGAGCTTGCTGGGTCTATTCTTAATTTTCTGAGGAAGCACGACACTGAATCCCATAGTGGTTATACCAGTTTACACTCCCACCAGCACTGAATGAAAGTTCCTTTTTCTCCATAGCCTCTCCAACACTTGGTATTACCTATCTTGTTGATAATAGCCATTCTAACAGGTATGAGCTGGTATCTCATTGTATTTTTGATTTGCATTTCCCTAATAGCTAGTGAAGCTGAATATCTTTTTATACATCTGTTGATCATTTGTAAGTCTCCTTGGGAGAGGTGTCTGTTCAGGTCCTCTGCCCATTTTTTATTATGTTTTTATTATTATTATTATTTTTAAATATATCTTTATTGATTTCAGAGAGAGGAAAGGAGAGGGAGAGAGAGATAGAAACATCAATGATGAGAGAGTCATTGATCGAGCCTGCAATCTGGGCATGTGCCATGACCAGGAATCAAACCCCGATCGCCTGGATCCCAGGTCGATGCTCAACCGCTGAGCCACGCCCAACTGGGCATACCCATTTTTTAATTGGATTGTTTGTTTGCTGTTAAGTTGTATGAATTCTTTATGTGAGTTTGGATATTAACCCGTTGTTGAACCTGTCATTTGCAAATATCATGTCCCATTTGGTTGGTTGCCTTTTCGTTTTATTGGTGGTTTCTTTTGCTATGCAGAAGCTTTTTAGTTTGATATAATCCCATTCATTTATTTTTGCCTTCACTTCCCTTGCCTTTAGGGTCAAATTCATCAAATGTTTTCTACGACCAAGTTCTGTAAGTTTAGTACTTATTTTCTTCTATGTAATTTATAGTTTCAAATCTTATATTTAGGTCTTTCATCCATTTTGAATTAATTTTTGTACATGGGGACAAACTAATCTAGTATCATTCATTTGCATGTGGCTTTCCAATTTTCCCAGCATCATTTATTGAAGAGGCTTTTTTTTCTCCATTGTATGTTTCTGGATTCTTTGTGAAAAATTATTTGCCCATATACATGTGGTTTTATTTCTGGGCTCTCAATTCTGTTTCATTGGTCTGTATGTCTGTTTCTCTGCCAATGCCATGCTGTTTTGATTACCATAGCTCTGTAGTATAATTTGAAGTCAGATAGTGTGATACCGTTGGCTTCATTCTTTTTTCTCAGGATTGCTTGCCTATTTAGGGTCTTTTGTGGTTCCATACAAATCTAGTGATTTTCTCTCCTATTTTTTAAAACATGCCATTGGGGTTTTGATGGAGATTGCATTAAATCTGTATATTGCTTTAGGTAATATGGCCACATTAACTGTATTGATTCTTCCAACCCATGAACATGGAATATCTTTCCATTTCATTGTGCCTTTTTCAATCGCTTTTAATAACGCTTTGTAGTTTTCAGTATATAGGTCCTTCATATCTTTTGTTAAGTTTATTCCTAGATATTTTATTATTTTGGTTGCACATGCAAAAGGAACTGTTTTTTGTTTTGTTTTGTTTTTTTCATTTCTTTTCCTGAAGTTTCATTGTTAGTACATAAGAAAGCAGTGAAATTTCATACATTGGTTTTGTATCCTGCAACTTTATTGTATTTGCTTCAAAATCTAATGTCAAAAAACTGGGGACCTTTGCCTGTGTGGTTACAGAAGTAAAATCTAAGCCATGATTTTCTTGGACAAGTTCTGAAAAAAAAGTATGTGCCCCCCAGCTGGCATGGCTCAGCGGTTGAGCATAGACCTATGATCCAGGAGATCAAGGTTTGATTCCTGGTCAGGGCACATGCTTGGGTTGCAGGCTCAATCCCCAGCATAGGGCATGCAGGAGGCAGCTGATCAATGAGTCTCTCATCATTGATGTTTCTATATCTCTCTCCCTCTTCCTTCTCTCCCTGAAGTCAATAAAAACACATTTTTTTTAAAAAAGTATGTGCCACAGACTGGTAAAAATGGATGATTCATTTGTTCAATGAAGTTACTGAATGCCCACCATGTACAAGACACTGTACTGAATGCTGTACAAAATTTAAAAATGTAGAGGATGTTATCAGTGGAATAATTTATAAGAAACACTATATTTAAGCATTATCTTAATACTAATGTAAAAATTTTTCCAAAATACCTTTTCACACTACAGATGAACTAGAAAATGAAAGAAGAAATGCATGCCAAGTTAAGATGTTAATGATAAGGAATAATACACTACCTTGCCTGCTCCAGTAGATCCAGCAACTGCCAACAACTGTCCTCTTTCTATCTTGAAATTAATATCTTTCAGGACAGGAGTACCAAGAAGTGAGAAGTTACTGAAGAAGACGCTGTTATCACCACTGTAAATGTTTCTATTATTATTGTTTTGTTTTGCATTCTCAAATAATTCCCCAAATCCCTGTTAAAAATAAACACACAAATTTTAAAAAGTAGGCTCTCCAGATATTTTCAATAGCTATTTATTTTATGTATGATGACTATGAAAAGCATGTGGCCCATGATCCATACATTATAGCACATAATTATATAGCCCATGATTTCTAGAGCACATGATCCAAAACATTTGAAAATTATAATTATAGCATTCACTGAAAACAATTTTAATTTCTTAGAGTATTGCTCGCCATCAAATTAAATTAAATATACCTATTTATCTCTATAAATATTTATATATACACTTTCTCCTGTAGGCTGGGTACACAATTATTATTATTTAATCTTCAGCATAATAATAATATATGTGGTAATATTTGATAACCCCTTTCTTTCAAAGCTGTAGACTGTCATTCAGAGAAGTTAAATGACAAAAGTCACATAACTAATAGGCTGAAATAGAATTACAACCCAAATCTGACTTCTACTCTATCATGTTGGTAATACCTTCCTCTGAAAAGCTCAAATTATTTAAGTAGTTATTATTAAACATAAACACACCCTGCGCCATGTGCTCAGTGATGAGAGCATCGGCCCTCGAACTGAAGGTCACAAGTTGGATTCCTGGTCAAGGGTGCCTATCTGGGTTGCAGGTTTGATCAGGGCCCCAGTCAGAGCGCATTTGGGAAGCAACCAATCTATGTGTTTCTCTCACATTGATCTCTCTCTCTCTCCCCGTCCCTTCTTCTCTCTCTCCCCCTCCTTCCTTCCCTTCCACTCTCTAAAAGTCAATGGAAAATATCCTTGAGTAAGGATAAACAGAAAACAAAACAACAACAAAATAAATGTGAAAATGTTGCCAGATGATCTGGATGAATCCCATTTATCCAAGAAGGCAATCATGTCTTACCTAGCTTAGAATAGCTTTCAGAAATGAGTTGGAGGATAAGGCATTTTAACTAACTACTTATTTGATTGCTTATTTAATTTTTTATAATTTAATAAATTAATACACATGAACTATCTGCATTTTAAAGTAAAGTTACACTCTTTCTAAGATAAAGTCAACTGATTGGCTTGACAATAGAACTGACTAAACTGATAAAAATTCATTTATCTTCCTTAAATTGAATACACTGAAATTGAACCTCCCAAGTTTTGACAAAAATCATTTAACATACATACAGTAAACAGGAATTACATCTTTTACCACCACTTAAACTTACTTTGAAAAATTTATGTCAACTTAAAAATGTGTCAGAGATACATAGTTTTTAAAAATTCATTTAAATTTGAAAACTACTGCTTTGAGTCCTTATGCTATAAATAGCTAATGGCCCCCTCAGTCATCAGACAACTAAAAGCAAAGCTTTTAAGAAGTAGGCAATAAAATGTGTTTAAAAATGAGCCTTGGCTAGCGTGGCTCAGTTGTTTGAGTATGGTCCCGTGCACCAAAATGTTGCAGGTTTGATTTCTGGTCAGGACATGTGCCTGGACTGCAGGTTTGACCCCAGTAAGGAGCATGCAGGAGGCAATCAATCAATGTTTTAATCTCACATTGATGTTTCTCTCTCTCTCCCTCTCCTTTCCTCTCTTTCCAAAAATCAATTTTTTTAAAACAGTGTTAAAAAATGAGACAGGCATTTGTTATCCCCTTATTCATTTATTAATCCAATAGATTAAACATATTGAGCATCACCTCTGTATTAAAGACAACTTCAAGAATACCACATGGGAGAATAAGATGAATAAATATTAATATTGCAATGTGCTTAGCGCTACAACTGAAAATCATACCAAATCCTATGGGAGTACATTAGAAAGAGTAATCTACTCAGTCTGGAGCTTGACCAAGTAAACGATCTACACACCAGGCCATAAAGGATATAAGTGGGTTTTCACACAAACAAGAAATAGTGTACATATTCTAGAAAGATGGATCTGCATGCACAATGATTTAGGTTTAAAAGAAGAAACTATGTCTCAGGAATGTTGCATGGCTGGATCAGGTGTATATGGCAGGATGACAAAGGTTGTGCTTGGTAAGGTAGGCAGTACAGACTGTTAAGGAGACCATGTGCTGTGCTTAGAAGGACTTTTATCCAGTAAGATAGGCTTGGACTAATGGCTGGTTATTGTTCATAATAACTTTGATTTCTGATAACAGAAGCAAGATTCTAATTTCAGGAAATTAAAAGAAATTACCTATAGCACTACCACTGAGGAAAAAAAAAAACCTTGTTTAACATTTCAACTGATATCCCTGCACTCTTACATATAATATAAATGTATATAATATATAAAACCATACATACATTTTACATTAATAAAAATTATATATAAAGTTTTAGACTGCTTTTCTGACTTGCAATAAATGATAAGTTATTTTCATATACCATTAAACATTGTTTTAAATGTATTTTAGTTGCAGGATAGTATCCAAGAGTATGCATATAATATATTTGTACTTTGCTACAAATGTGGAGTACATTCTCTTTTTTTATAAATTTTGACAAGTGGAATTTCCAAAGAGAATGAGTTTTAAAATTCTAAGACTTTTGAAAAGTAGTTCAAATTTTTTCCATCAATGTACGGTAGTGCTAGTTTTTCAAGGACCCTTATCAACACTGTTGCTTTTGTTATTTGTTTGTCCTTTTTCATAGTTTTATAGGTGAAAATGGCATCTCGCTACTAGATCTTAGCCTTATTTATTTGCTCCCTACTAAGGCTGAACATTTCCCATGCTTCTGAGTTCTTTAGCTGTGAGTGGAATGGTTCTGATAGTCTTTGCATCTATCTCAGTTTTGTTTCATCTCCTCAAGTGGCTGGGTTATGGTTGACAAGTCATTATAACATTCAGAGCTTCAGCCTCCTGAGTTGTTGAGGATATTAGATGAAATAATATATATAATTATTTTTTAAACAGCAAAGCAATAGTTGCTCTTAAAAGAAAATAAGAGGCAGTATGGTAAGTGAAAAAGGGCTCTTGCTGCCAGAGAAACCTAGGCTGACCTTTTAGCTCCACCCTATCTAGTTGTACAACCTTGTTCTAGTAACTTAAACTCTCTAAGTCTCAGCTTCTAAAGCATAAATAGAAATTTTACCTACTCACAGGTATGGAGTGAGGAAGGAGTCATATAACTACTTGCCTCCTGGGTAACTGGGTTGATGGTGATGTCATCAAAGGAGATAAAGAATACACTGGAAACTTGGGGAATGATAAATGTGAAGTGCTTGAGGAGCATGTAGAAAATTTGGAAATACATATATGAAGTTCAGGAAAGAAACTGGGGTCAGAGATTTGCATTTGAGAGTCATTAGCACCTTGTCGTCAGCTGAGCCTGGGTGAGGTCATGAAATGCTAGGAGGATTTGGTCAGGACTCAGTGGCTCATCACTATTGAAATGGCAGGCAGGGAAGGCTAGAATTCATAGTCTGAGGGTAAAATTATGTGGAAAGTGAGGATACAGACAGACAGGAGTCAATGGTTCAGTGAGAGGGTTGTAGATGGTGACATTTGGGTCTAAATCCAGCTTCAGCTCTTGCCAGTTGTGTGAGCTAAATCAGGTCCCTTAACCTTTCTAAGCCTCCATTTCCTTATCAGTGAAATGGAAATGTTAATATTACTTAGGTCATAGGAATATTATGAGAATTCAATGAAACAACACATATAAAGGGCTTATTTTAGTGCCTGGCACATAAGGGCTCAAGCATGCTACGTATTTTATTAGGCTGAAGGAGAGTAAAAGGAAGGACTTTTCCACCAAAGCACAGAAACAATAGTTGTGAAAATGTCAAATTTACTTTTCCTTCATACCTAGAAGGGCATTGAAATTTCTAAAAACAAAGAAGTAGTATCAGTTTGACCCACACACTTTTCCACAAACAATTTTGCTAATCAGATAAAGAATTATTCCCTTATCTTTATCTTAAAATATGAATTAAAGTGAAGCCCTGGTGATCAAGTTACTTGTATAAATAAAACAAATTTAAGATATTGTGTAATATGTAGAAATAGGACACTGGTTTCATAACTCCTATCTTTACTCAGATATCAGTGATAAGAAAATAGAAACTCAACAGGATTTCTCAATAATCAGATATTGCTTCTTCAGAGGTTGAAAATCATTGATAACATAATTTCTGACTTTGAGAAATAAGAGGATTTTTAATAGTAAATTAAAGTAAGTAAAAATCATAGAAAACCATACATTTGTAGATCTTCCATACATCTCTATGTTGACTGGAATATGTAAAGCACTTGGACTGGAACTTGAGATAAGGTAGCATTTATTGAGGAATTATTATGTGCATGGTATTCTGCTGAACACTTTATACCTCTGCAAGGTAAATATTAATATTCCCATTTTACAGATGGAGAACCAGAGGCACCACAAAGTTCAATAACTCGATCTAGATTACACAGAGAGTAAATAGCAGAACCAGGGTTCAAATCCAGGGCTGCCCAGATCCAAAACCAATGAGCTTTGTATTAGTTCCTAGTATGTTATGTGAAACAAGTTATATGACTTAGAAGAAAGAGGCTTCTATACTGCATTTAATATTCCTGGTCCTCTACTTCTTAATCTATAAAATAAATGGAGCAGTTCACCTTCCAGTTTTAATATCATTCTCACTGTCCATTAGCATGAAAATCACATTCACACAAAAACTGCTTAAGTATTTAAGCAAAAAATTAAAAAATAATTTCTGACCTCCTCCCAGAAAGCTGTTACGTTCTCCATCACTACTTCTGTAGTTGTTAAGTTATATTCCAATGTCTTATACTCTTGCTTTTGTAAGAAATCCTGTTAATAAAAACAGAGAAAAAACATTAAGTTATATTCTAATGTCTTATAGAACTTAAAAAGCACCCCTGCATTATCCACCAATTTGCCTCAATTAGGACAAAGAGAAAACAAATATCTTTATCATTATAGCACCCTCCCCCTTTTTATAGGCATCATTAGCATCACTTCTCTGGGTTAAGTGAAGGTGTGAAGATCTGATGTAACTGATTTTAAGGCATCAAACCTTGATTCTAAGTGGGCCCTATTAGAAACTCCCATTCAGAGTGTTCTGAGGGAAGCTGGGCACACAGAAAGAATTAAGTCATGCATCCTGAAGTCTTCACTATAGAGGCAATGAAACAAGCTTGGTCTTTACCTCACTTTTCCCTTTTCTTCTCTATTTTCCTCTTTCTTGCTACCTCTATTTTGGTTTCTTTTTTTTCTCCAATTTGTTTTCAAGATCTGTTTGTCTATCTCTGTGTTCCTGTTTGGTGGCCCTCTCTGTCTCTGACACTCTTTTCTCATTTCTCTGTATGTCTGTTTCTCTCTCTCTCTCTCTCTCTCCCTCTCTCTCTCTCTCTCTCTCTCTCACACACACACACACACACACACACACACCTGTGAAGGGTTAAGAGAAGAAATAAGCTTAGTCTAAGACCTGCTATAGTTTTGAGCTACACTCATCAATTTACCTAAATTGCAGATCTCGAACTCACATATTTGTAAAATGATAAAATTAAGGAAGGCAGCTGAGTAGAGGTTGTGATAAACTGGAGAGGGCAGGCCTTCTTTGATGGAGGAGCTGCCACAATTTGTAGGAGAAGAGGATTCCATTTACCATATATTCCAATCCTTCAAAAGAGGTTGAAGATATAATTTATTGCATATACAACATCTCTTAATTTTTAAATGCTGGCAACTAATTGAGATGTGTGTTTTTTTTAATGTGAAGATCAAATAAAACTGGTCTAGGGGCCAAAATTAGGTCCGTGGGCCATCATTTGCAAACTCTGGCCTAGGTTAAATAATGGCAGAACCACTCAAAAGTGGCTCACCTTTCACCATCATTTTTATTTATGTCACAGTGATTTCTTTTCTAGGTTGAATATTTAAATAGTATTTTAAAAGTATTATCAAACATTTTTATCTGCATATTAATTATAAAAATTATAACCACATAAAAGTTCTTAGTAGTGATTCAGTTTTATATAAATTGAGCCTCATCACTTGAGGACTTTAGAACTTCTCTTCAGAGTTACCAGCTACATCAGCATTTCTGTAATTTTAAGGTAATTAATTTGACATAAAATGCCATTCTCATCCATCATATTGTCCAGGGACACACTTGGAAAAGTTTAAGGTGACTATTCCTAGAGTTAGCTGGAAAGTTTTTTAATGTCCTGATAAATTTGCCACCATCTTTGTGCACATTTGCCAAATCCATTAGAATGAACTATTGATTGATTGCTTCAATAAAATTTTCCAGAATACAGAAACAATATTTTCTGCAATTTCTTTGACTTAGGAGAATTTCACAGGCTTTCACTTTATTTCACTAGACTTTCATTACTAGGGTTTGTTAGACCACATACAGAAGTCAAGAGAGAAAAGCCTGAGCATCAAACAGACCCAAGACCAAGAATTCATCTCTAGACAGTTTGCCCACTAGTAAAGTTCTAACTGTTCTAAAATCATTGTATACAATTCCCACTTATGGTACATTACCTGTATTTTGCTTATTGCTCCAAGAGAATCATACCATGTTTGTACAGCCCAGGGGAATTGCCGAGTGACTGCCATGCGCAGAACAATGCAGAATGAGATGGTCGTGAATATTTTTCGAAGGATGATTCCTTTGTTCAATGCATAGGGAAGCACAGATAAAAACACCACAAAGAACCCTGAGAAGAAGAAGGCTGAGCTATTGAAGTATCTCACATAGGCTGCCTTCTGGGTCAGTTTCAGTTCTGTTCTATAAAACAATAAATAAGATTTGGGGTGCTTATTTACTTTTCAAATGTGAGGCATATTGAAATGTAAAATCTGAACACAGGCTCTCAAGGCTTTGTGCCTTTGGGCAAGTTATTTAACTTGTTTAGGCCTCAGTTTTCTTATCTGAAAGAGGAATAGAAATGAATGTACCAGTGTCTTGTCCATAATACCTGTAAATATTATTTTTAAACCATACCTACTAAGCTCAATTACTATTACATTATTTTTGCATTTTTATCACTTCATTATTAATTAGTAATATTACTGAGACTGATAATTTTTTGTTTGTTGGTTGGTGTTTTAAGTGATTAAGTGTAGAAATGAGGACAATGTTGCAAGATTTATAAAGAAAAAGACAATTCTATGATTTCCTAATAGTTTCTTAGCACTTTAGAAATTCTAGCATGGCTTCGGGAAACACTGAAAATAACATATAAGCCACAGAGGAATGTTTCTCAAATATTAGCATAAGTAAAAATTACCTGAGAAACTTTTTTAAACACAGAGTCTCAGGCCCAGCTCTCAGAGATGCTGATTAAGCGAGTGTGCAGTAGGTTCCAAAAAAAACCAACAAAATAAAAACAACAACCCATGATTCTGTGCAGGTGGTTCTTGAAGATTAGGAATGTTGTACATACTGTATCCTCCTTGTCTCTCTCATTTTAGTGTAATTATTTGCAATCATATTATACTTCTGATCTCCTAGTCTAAACTGCAAATGTAAACTTACTTTTTTTTAACACATAGAAGAGGTTTAAATGCTACAACCAGAAAACAGGAAGTTCAGAGGCTGGTGAGAACAGAGGACAATACTGGTGTCAACCTCTGTCCCATTCTTCCAGGACCGTAAAAACCTAAGTCACCTGTGATCTTCCTGTTCAGCTCTTGTAAGGGAATGAGCAGTGGTTACACAGACAGTAGAGGGTCCTGGTGGGAGGGTGCAATAGGTGTGCCTGGCATTTTGGTGCTACTTTCACACACTTGTATAACTCAGAAAGGTTCTCATCCTTAAGTGGTAGAATTCAAAGGAAATCTTTTTTTTTTTTTTAAGTTTAAAAAATGTGATCTTGAGCACTCTGATGAAGAATAGTAATAGAGTTCTATGTGCCCAACCTAGACTGTGATTCACAGTCTAATGCTCACTTATATCAATTCTTTGGCATTGAAGACAGATTATGATTTTGGAATCTCACTGGGGTTTGACTCCTAGCTGTGCCAGTAACAGCTATGCCATCTTAAACAAGTTGTTCTTCCCTCTGATCCTATAGAATCCACATCCATAGAAGGGAAACATAATATCTTCCTTGTGGAGTTGTCAAAATAAATTACATCACAGAAGAGGGCCTGGCATTTGGACCTTACTATGTTGTCTTTAATCTTCATCAGAGAAAGAATAATATTGGCTATGCTGATATTAATAAAATGCTAGCAAACAATTTAGAAAATGTTAATAAATCTGTCAAAATTGTTGTTGAAATGTATAGAAACAGTTGAGGAAAATGGAAAAAGTATACTATAGGAAAAGAACAATGGATTCAAGAACATTTATAACGATCACCAAGAAAACAATACTCTCCATAATAAAATCATTAACACTTTATGAGTCATAAAAACATTTTATCAGTTTCTTATTAAAAAATTGAAAGTGACTTTATTACCAAAGAGCAATAAAGGATTATCAGGGACCTGTGCACAGCCTTTTTTGTGCAGTTCAACAGTGGCCATGAAAGGGTAATCACCCCTTTGAAGTGCATCCTACCAATCTCTCCCAGAACATTCTATTTGCTCTTTGGAGTAGAAGCAATTCTTGCTTTCCCATATTTATATTAGCACTTTCCAGCCTTTTCAGGAAACAATTTCATGCCAGATTAAGGAACTGGATTATACAAATTACAACCAAACATTTCTTATTAGAATTGGTCAAACAGAAATACAGAGTAGGAAGGATGGATATTATCATTTGAGAAACAGAGTGGGGGGAAAGTCAAGAAAAGTCAGCAAGCAGAATGACCTGACCAAGAGTTTATCTGGACTCCTGAGAAAGCTTTTCTTTACTCTTGCTATGCCTGTGCTTATAGGCATAGGAGTGACCAAGGAGACAAATGCTATGGAAAACACTTACTAATGAGAAAAACAACTTTGACAAAACAATTCCCCAAGGTCTTTAACGATGTTTCTGGAAAGAAAATATAATTCCTTTCCTGGATTTGTCTTGAAAGGCATAATAAAAACAGGTGAGCAATAATGTTTGGGAAATAAACACCCTTTTACTCTTTCTATTTACATGGCAAAGGACTTAACATTTCAGCATTTCTTTTGTTGTTCCAATCACACACCTGCAGCTCAGTTACTGAAATCAACAGCCTGAATCCCTGATAACCCACAGTCACACCATCCAAAAAGATGCTGCTCTTCTTTTTAGTATATTTTTTCTCATGAAACTCTCATGTGTTATTTGTCCTGAAATTGTCTTCTAACAGTATATCTATCCTCACAGAGTCTTCTAGAACATTTTTTTTGAATGTGGTTTGTAGAACATGGAACTTGACTGAAGAAAAATGGTCTCATGGCTACCCTAGTTTATATTTTGCCAAAAATTATCTCAGTAACCTTATCTCAGTCTGTGCTATACTTTTTTGCAGGATATCATCTTTACTAATCAGTGAAAGAAAGGTTATCTGAGGTGAAACAAGACTAGAGATAGGTGTCAAGTACTGACTCTAACTCAGGAGGTGGTTTTCATTACTTGAACTGACTTCTCAAGTGGAAGGTTTATCGAAACACTATTTATAGCTATTACCCTATGTTATTATTTTTAAGTTAAGGAAGAACAAACGTTTTAACCAAACGAAGCATGCTTTTTTTTTTTTTTCCATTTTTCATAATGCATAGATTAAGGAGAATATAATAATAGGCAATCATTTATTTGGCTCAGAATTGTATACTTATTACTCTAGCAGTTCCATTTAAGGTTTCAATCAGCTTCCAACACCATGACATTATTTTAGTCAAATAAGTATATTAAGCAGCTATAAACACATATAAGAGATTCTTCTGTAAGGTATAAATACCTTTCTAGTGAAAAATAACACACTTGACAAACTATGTAAAACTAAGCCCATGAAAATTACTTTATGCCACTAATGTATAAATATTGAGATAATAGTACAATTGTTTGTTAGAAACTTCAAATGTGAGCTGGAAGTCCATTGAAACTCATTTTTGAAATATTAAACATTAACTGACTAATGATATTGAAACTATCTAAATTACTTACTGCCTTATGTTTTCAATCATTTTTTCCATTGCTTCCTCCCAGCAGTATGCCTTAACAGATTGGATATTTTCAATAATTTCTGAGGTGATCACGAGTCTTTCATTGATTTTCCCAGCTCTCTGATCTCTGTAAATCAATCAATCAATCAATCAATCAGTTTCATACTTAGTAAAAACAAGTCAAATTATCCACTAAGAACTGCTGAAGCCAGTAAGAAGCCACATTTCTTTTATTAAACAGATGAGCATTTTATTATCAAATGATGATAAAAATAATAGCTACCACTTAATAAATGTCCCCTATGTGCCAGACATTGTATTAGATGCATTCCATACACTATTCCTAATCCCTACTGACAGTCTAGGAGTGGTGGTTATCTCTGTTTTAAAGATGAAAACCCAGAGACTCCAGGGAGTAAAGTGGCTTACTTACGTCATATAACTAGTGTGTACTCTGGCATTCAAGTCAAGGAGCTATCTGACTCCAAAATGTGTACACTTTCTATGATGCTCTAGCTGAAACACTCTAAAAGTCCTCTATCCAAGCAATGACTGATACCACTGAATCATTCTGCAATAAAAAGTAACCAAGACTCTGGTGTGGTTAACCAGGGTAGGAAAAGCTTGTAAACTCTACCTAAAATCTGTGTGTTCCTTTTCACTCACATCAATGTTTTGCCCATTGTACTTAAATCTTATAATCTATAAAAATTAACTGTATGGTAATATATTTATAAAGAAATTCTACAAATTGACAAGTAAAAAATATCCCATTGATATAGGAAGTATATTTGTACCATTAAAATAATTCCTTGATTGTGTGTTCGCCACCCAAAAAAAATTGTCTCCTTTAGTCACCATTTATCCTCCCTTTACCCTCTTCTACTTACCCCAACCTCCCTTTCCCTCTGGAAATCACTCTACTGTTGTCTATGAGGGTTTTTTTCTTAATCCCTTCATCTTTTCACCCAACTCTGAACCCCCCTTGCCTCTTACAGTTGTCAGTCTGTTCTCTGAATCTATAAGTCTGTTTCTATTTTATTTAGGTTCCACATATAAGTGAAATCATTACGATAAAAATAAATTAATTAAATTAAATAATTCCATTTTAGCGACACCCAGTAAGTAATGCACAGAATAGTCCCTGGTTTCATTAGAGTGGGCTTTTTGAAAACCTAATTTAAAACCCTTTCAAGCTATGTAAATAGAGTGCTACCTGTACTTCATCATCATTCTCCCCAGCCCAGCTTGGACAATGGCGAGGACTATGAGGAAAGCAAGTCCACAGAAGGCAGAGGCCTGTAACAATTCCCAAAGCAGCCCCATCAGGAGTGTCACTTGTAAAGGAGCGATCCACACGAAATGTGCCAATGCAAGTCCCTGGAAAATAAGATCACAGTGAAAACTGGTGATATTTTATCCCTCACCCGGCTCCAGCCCTCCCAAAAAACAGACGAGCATAGTTGAATGAGTTTATACAATCAAACACTTTATGATTCTGAGCACACTAAAATCGAGGTATTCATTACATAAAACACATAGCAATATGCTTAAACCTACTATGCATAGACTAGGATATCCTGAGGAACAAATTTCAAGTTATTGCATTTTTATGTATGTGGCTTTTTTCCCCAGTGGACTTGAGATTGGATCTCTTAAGTGTCAAGTCAAGAATTTATTTTAAATAACTTACTTCTATTTGGATAAAGCAAGAACCATGAGAAAAACAAAAGACTGTCCAGAAGTCCAGTCTCTACAAAGTCTGAAAATATATTCAGAATAAATGCATGCTCAATTCAATAGTAATCTATTTAGAACCTGTTGAGGGCTCAATACTATGTTAAATACTGAAAATGAAAAGACAAATAAAACACATTATTGTTACTCAAGGACCAAGCATTTATTTGTGACACAAGATGGCACTGACCAAAAATAGCTCAGAATATCATATTCAACCAAAGTGAATAAGTGATTTAAAGTATAAAAGAAAACAAGATCTGACAAGGATTGAATTTTGAAAATCCTCATCAAATACCCAGCAAGCTGAGGTGCCTCTGAGTTGGGTGGCTCCACGAGACCCCAGGATGGCACTTTACTACACATATATCTTTCTCAGTTTTCAAAAATAGGGAAGGTAGAGATGGGTTCTACTTAACCACTTATTAGTGTTATCTGATCCAGGAAAACCTTCAGGGCTATACGATTTTTAACAATAATGCATAAAAGATTATAACAGTAGGTACATACTTCATCAAATTTGTTCAAGTTATTCGAAAGGAGACTAACAAGTTGTCCAATGCTGATTTTATCTAGAACACGGCTTGACAGCTTTAAAGTCTAAAAGGAAAAATGAGAAGTTAGATGATGTTGACAAACAGAAGGAAAATATATCCATAAGTGACATACAGCTGAGGAATTAGCTTATGTATGTATTTTTAAATAACGATAATGAAAATTACTTTATATTCATTTGGCTTTGTATCTTCTCAGATTTATAAATATTGCTCTTCACAACAAGTATTATATTGGCATGCCCCTAGTTATTTTATTTTCCAGCATCTAGAGAATAATAAGTATTTTTGCTCCTCCAAAATGGAAATGATATTGTACTTAAATACTTATTTACAATGTGAAGGGTTTGTTTTATTGTTATAAAGCATGGAACCAAAGGCAGTGGAATTTGAAATTAAACCCTTGGCTTTTCCCTGGCTGGTGTGGCTCAGTGGGTTGGGCATCATCCCCTGCACTGAAGGGTTGCCTGTTCAATTCCCAGTTAGGGCACATGGCTGGGTTGCAGGCTCGATCCCCAGTGTAGGATGTGTAGGATGTGATGGATGTTTCCTTCTCATGCTGGTGTTTCTCTCTCTGTCTTTCCCTCTCACTTCCTCTCTCTCTAAAAATCAACTTTAAAAAATCTTAAAGAAAAAAAGCACAAAAAATTTTGGCCTTAGATTTTGCATGCAGACATAGCTGGTTTTGCTCAGTGGTTAGTGTGCTGGTCCAAGACCTGAAGGATCCCAGATTTGATTCCTGTCAAGGGCATATACTTTGTGGTTACAGGCTCGATTCCCGGCCCCAGTAACCATGGAGGCGGCAACCAATCGATGTGTCTCTCTCACACTGATGTTTCTTAATCGCCCCCCCCACTTCCCTTCCACTCTCTCTGAAAAGCAACGGAAAAAATATCCTCAGGAGAGGATTTTAAAAAAATAATAAAATAAAAAATTGCATGCAGTCCTATGGTAACTCTATTGAATAAACTTATTGTTAAAGTCAGTTAAAGTATACTATGAATAACTAAATCATTAATCATTTTGCGAAAGATTATACCACTAATATAAAATCCTTAAATCTGACAAAGAAATATGCATACATATACACAAAATAAAATTGTTTAGTAGATAAATTAATTATGATTATAAAAGATTACAGTCATACTTTGCCTGCAAAATGTAATAAGAATTGATTTGCCATTAGATGGCTTTGATCTGAGAGTGCCCATCTAATATTTGTTTTAACTGAATTCCTTACATATATCTTGAATACTTAGATGTAAATTGTTATATTTAAGGCTTCAAGGGTTATTATTAAGATGTTTTAAAACACAATTCTTGCCTCAAGGCAACCTAGTACTGATATAACTAAATGTGATAAGACAAATGAGTTAAAGGGAGTAGAATATAATAAGATGGTTAAGAGAAAGTTCTCATTAAAGTCCAGAAAGATTTTATTAAAGAGGTGGAATTTTAAGATGGGTATGGAATAATGAATGGCATTTAGGTAAGCACAGATGAAGAAGGAATCAAGGCAATTAATTCCAAAACAGTATTAGCACAACATGAGGGGGTGAAATCAGTTGAGCTGGATCACACGTAATTTAGTAACAGGCTCAGTTTCAGGTGACTGAGTTCTCCATGGGTCTCCATGCTAAGCACAATAAACACTCAGTGAATATTTTTCACTTTAGTTATTTCTATCATATTGAAATTCACAGGCAAAGCTAAATTTAGTTTTTACTTAGATTCATTATTTAAAATATAATCTGAATGTGTCATAGTTGCAAATTTGGGAACAAAGCAAAATGTTGCCTTATTACAAAATTTGGAATATTGCATAAAGAATTAGCAATTGCCTGCCACATCAATGAAAATGGTCGGCTAAGGTACCAGTTTACTTTAGGTTTACTTTAGGGACCAACCACAGCCACTTGGAGATGCAATTGCAGTCTTTGGTGATAATGCCAATGAAGGCCAATAGGTGTGGCTAGAGAGGTAAAGCAAATTCAGTAAGAACAGATATTCAACAATGAGAAAGGAGACAACAGCTTCTAACTTTCATGAATGCGTTCTGTATCTGAAAGCACATATGTTATATATATTACTGTATTTGTGATGTTATATATGGACTTATTTACAAATTAACCTGCTCCTTCTTTGATATCTCTTCCCCTTTAGCCCAGACCATTTCATACCTCATCCCATATAACACAGTTTGTCTTGCTACATTATTTCAGTTCTATTTTATTTTTCCTAATTCTTGGAAAACCGTTCACTTCAAGAATTATGATTTACTCATTTTAGAAAATTTAAACAAGTTTTCACAATGTCCTATACTTTTTAGGTCTTAGTTTCTTAAAATCTTTTATCCATAGAATAGGATAATAGCTCCTACCATATAAAGTTTGAGAGAGGTTCAAATAAGATAGTATACTTAAATCACTTAGAAGCTTGTCATGCACATCATTAGCTATTACTTACATTATGATAATAAGCACTTTTATAAATATTTTTTAAATTGGATTAGGCTTTCTTTAATATTCTTGCTGTGTAGATTCTACCTTCGAAATAACATCTAATAATTTCTTCACTTATGTAAAACTTCTGGGTCAAAGTAAAATTTAATAAAATAACTGTTGATTTATCACCCATGCTTTCCTGGTTCTTGTGAACCAATGAGACTGCAGCTGAGGCGGTTTAAATAAACTGTGGACTCTGTTTTGGTTTTTTTGGGGGGAGGGGGTGCATTCATAAAAGGCTTCCTTGAACAATATAGCATGGCTATCAAGGTTTTACAACACAACTGACCTTGCATGATGTATATTATGCAAGTGTTATAGGTTATTTGCTAGAGGAAATTTCAGATCCATGACTCTCATAAGCCAATTAAACAAAGTTTTTACCTTGGAAGAATAACAGAGAGAATAAGGGTAAAGCAGCATACAAATGATTCAACCGAATGACTTGGTGGATCTAATCAGTCACATATGGTCTTGAATCTGGTTGGTGAAAACACGTTATTGAAATAATCTTAAATTGTGTTTGCAAGGTAGCTAAATCTTAATCTGAATTTACCTAAATCATGCTTCAGCAACTTGGGTTCTTTTCTGGACAGTACACATAGAAAACCAGAAAAGGTTCTTACAGTTGCCATCCACATGCTGTTCTAAAATATTTTAATTTGCAGAACTCACAGGATGACAAAAATCTATCTCAAAATAAGGCAGTGGATAGGTGAATATACCACTCTGTCATAACCAGTTAAGGTGAAAGCTTTCCGTGCCTGGATTATCATTAACAATTATGTACTATATTCTTATTGTTGAACATAAGGATACATGGCATTTTACTATAAGACAGTATTTTGTCAATAACTTATGCAGATGGTAAGACTCATTTTAATGGGGAGTCATGGATTCCAAAAAATGATGACATAACTAGTGAAAAAAACAAAAATGAAACTATACTATAGGCAGGTTATAGAAGGTGCCAATAATTATTAAAGTGAAAGTGTTCAGTAATTATTAAAGTGAATTAAATTATCAAGGAAAATTAGAAATATTATTGCTGCCATTTATTTTATAGATTTATGAAACTGATTTCAGCATTTATCCTTAATTTGTACCCACACAGCATTTAAAACATGATGCCACTCCATGTGGCATCAAGCATGAAGACTGTGCAAGGAAGTATTACCTTCTTATAAATCAAACTAAACATAGCTATCCTTATTTGCATTCCAATGTGATGAAGGCCAAAAATGGCTGGGTGCAGTAGCAGTGTCCTCAGGATAAAAAGAAGGCATAACCCTATGCCTAGGTAAACCGCGATGGAGCGTTCCACTTTATTATCTGGATCATAGGAAGCTATGATTCTTCCCAGTAAAAGAGGCTGGACTGCTTTGGTGACCTCCTGCAGAAGAAAAGAGAGAAATAAAACTTTATTCCCCTTTCATAAAATACTCTCACAATTTCAACACAGGAAGTTTTATCTTTAGAGGAGAACTTAAAATGGCTACACAAAGAATCAAGCCATATATGAAATTCTTAACATTGTTTTTAATAGCTTTATACTTAAACTCCCTGCCATGGTATCATCATTATATTTTTCCATAACCTGTCACCTCTATCACCATAGATCCATCTGAATTGTTATTCAGTTGCAATTTATAACAAAATAAATGAAATGTGTATTAATCTGATTTAGACATCTATTCTACATATTGTCATTATTGAATTAGTTAGTTGTCATCTAGCCAAAGAGGACACATTCATCTCTTGAACAACAATGGCTATTCCATAAAAACACTGGTAGTATTACTCTGGGAGGGTACATGTTCATAAAAATAATGCAGTTTATTTTGGGTAAAGAAAATTCCAATAATAGGACCATCTGCCAACATCAAGCCAACACAAACCTCACAACATGGAACTGTTAATATAAAAGGACAAAATCAGCATTCTAACCAGCCCCCTCTGCCCTTTTAGTTTTCCCTACTCTGTTTTGAGCAGCATGTTCTCTAATATTTACAATGGAACCATTAACAGGTATCACCTGATTTTTTTATTTGGAAGGGGAAACAATGGTAACTGATACCTAGGTTAGTCTTTGAAGTACAGTTCTTTACAAAAATCATCCCTGTAATGAGAAACACAGTCCTACATTCTTGGCATGTGAAAGCTGTGTGTACACCATTGCTCAGATTATTTTCAGAGACACAAGAAATTTCCCAATAAGGCACCACAGAAAATAGTGCAAGCAGACTGAGGTCTGAATGTAATGAGAAGGAATACAAATTTACTTGAAACTTTATCAAATTTTATTACTTTTTATCAGGCACAAATCACGATGGAATTTGCTTAATGTTTCACTAGGATAATAGAAGAAGATAGATAGAAATGTTTAAGTCAGCATGACAGTGAAATGAACACTGAATTCAGAGTCATGAAACTCACATTCTTATCCCACCATGTTACTTATACTCTTTGTCACTTTAGTCACTTCCCTTCTCTGGATGGTTTCCTCACTGATAAACTGAGTGGTGGAGCAAGCTGATATTGAAGGTCCCCTTCAGTGCTAACATGTCTGATTTCACAGTCTGAGTCTGGGACTTGGCCTGGCCCACATCCTGCCACCACTATGGCTGTTTTCTATTCAGAAGGATGCAGGTCTGAACAATGAGAGTTCAGACAACCATGTACTTAGAGAGGAGCATAAGTAATTGCATTCCTGGTGAGAAGCCTCTCGAGTATCAGTTTAGATGACTCTCCCAGAGAAAAATGAAGAAGCCTTGTAATAACTCCTGGGAGATATATCTGGTCTCTCATGGGATCTTCCAGGCCAGAGCTTAGTCACTGTGATGAATCTACATCCTTTAACAATTCTGTTCTGCCTGCATACCCAGGACAGGGTCTGATGTTTCTTGAGATAGGGAAGTCTGCCGGATATTCAGGCCATGAAAGAAAGTTCAGATGAAAATAGAAAACTCGCCCAGCCGGGCATGGCTCAGCGGTTGAACATCGACCTAGGATCCAAGCGATCGGGGTTCGATCCCCAGTCGGGAGGTGCAGGAGGCAGCCAATCAATGACTCTCTCATCATTGATGCTTCTATCNCCCCAGTCGGGGGGTGCAGGAGGCAGCCAATCAATGACTCTCTCATCATTGATGCTTCTATCTCTCTCTCTCCCTCTCCTTTTCTCTCTCTGAAATCAATAAAGATATATTAAAAAACGAAAATAGAAAACTTGGCTCAGGCTTGCAATTACATTAAATGAAATAATCCCAAGATAACTTTACCTTAAAAATTACAATTCCAAACCCAAAGCATACTTTTTTCTAATACAATTAGAATGATTAATTTAAAATCTTCTAAATTTACATTATTTTCTCTATTGTGTCTAGTCAGTAAAATCATCATCATCTGAACTCATTTTAAATATATTTTATATGTCTAAGTCCCAGGAATACTAGGTCATTATTTGAGAAATATTGAGAAGTTAAGATTTCTTAATATTGGGAAATTAATTAGTAGCATACCAATAGTCTATAGAAGAACCTATGGTTATCTCAATAACAACTGTAAATGAATCTGATAAAACTTCAGTATGTTTCAGATAATGTTCTAAATAAACTCAAATATTAAGATATTTCATTAACCTGAGAAGAAAATTCTCCTCCAAAACAACAATCAGCATCACTAATTAATAAAACTCTAGAAACCAATAGCTTTAGAGTTGCCAGCATGACTCAGTGGTTAGAGCATCCGTCTTCACGCCAGAGGGTTCCAGTTGTATTCCCAATGAAGGGAATACCTGGGTTGTAGGTTCCTTCCCTGACCCTGGTTGGGATGCGTGCTGGAGGTAGCCAGCCAGTCAATGTGTCTCTCTCACATTGATGTTTCTCTCCCTCTATTCCTCCCCTCTCCCTTCCACTCTCCCTAAAAATCAATGGAAAAAATATCCTGGGGTGAGGATTAAAAAATAATAAAAAAATTAAAAAACACAAACAATAGGAATACTAGCTATTAGTACAATTAAACATTACTTCTGGAACTTTTTGCTAATACAACTCCAAAAGAAAAACAACTGAGGTGTGAATATTGGAAAGGAGAAGTGAAAGTATCGTTATCAGCATAGAATGTGATTGTCCATAGAACAAATTTTAGTGAATCAAAAGTTTAAAAGGTAGAGATTTAAAAAATATTTATACTAAGAAAATAGATTCCTATACCTCAAGTATAATTATCAATTAAATAAGTATCCCAGTTATAGCAACAATATAACAAAAAATGCATTGTAAATACCAACAATTAATATATATATAAATATATAATACATTACTAAGACATATTTTTAAAATCTCAAATAAACAAAGAACTTAAAAAACTTTCTAAAAAGAAAAACTGACTGTTGCAAAGATTGTATGCTCCCCCAAGCTATTTGATAAGATTAATGCAATCTTCATCAGAATTCCAAGGAGAGTTTTTGGAAGTGAACTTTTACACAGTAATAGCAAAGGCTGTCTATCATAGTTCTTACTAATCCCAGCACCATACACAATACCTAGCACAGAATATCCACTCAGCATATATTTGTAGATCAATGGATAAAATGATATTAAATTTCATTTGGGAAGAAAAATAAGAGATTCATGAAAAACATTTGAGGAATAAGAATAATGTGTCAAAGTGTTTACATTACTAAATATCAAATCATATTATACAAATATAAAAATATGTAGCATGAGAAAAAAAATATACTGATTCATCTGGAAAGTCCCAAAACAGGTCCAAGTACACTTAATAATTTAATATATAATAAAACAAGGCATTTTAATTCAGTGGATAAAGGCTAGATCACACTACAAATAATAGAGAAACTACTCATTTCTAAAATTAGATTTACTGCCCTAACCAGTTTTTCTCAGCAATTAGAGCATCAGCCTTCAGACTGAAGGGTCTCAGATTCAATCTCTGGTCAAGGGCATGTACCTCAGTTGCAGGCTTGATTCTTTCCCTGCTCCCACAGCATGTGGGAGGCAACCAATCGATGTATCTCTCTCACATGGATGTCTCTCTATGTGTTTCTCCTCCTCCCTTCCACTCTCTCTAAAAAAAAAAAAAAAAAAAAAAAAAAAGAAAAAAA